AGCTTCACATTGCATCATAAAATGAGTTATGCTGGAGACATGGCTTGGTGGTTAAGAGAACCGACTGCTTTTCCAGAGGACGCGGGTTCAATTCCCAGCACCCATATTGGCAGCTAACAACTGTCTGTAACTCCAAGGTCTGACACCTTCACACAGACATACCTGCAGGCAAAACATCAATGCACATAAAATAAAAAAAATAAATTATAAAAAAAACAACAAGAAAAGCTGGACGGTGGTGGCGCATGACTTTAATCCCAGCACTCGGGAGGCAGAGGCAGGCGGGTCTCTATGTGTTCGAGGCCGGCCTTGACCGACAGCCTCCAAAACAATACAGAGAAACCCTGTCTTATTGTTGGAAACGAGTATGTATATGTATATGTATATGTATATGTATATGTATTTCTTGCTTCTTTTTTGAAACCTGAGTGAAAATTTTAGAAGCAGACTTTTAAAGTTTTTGATATTTATGAATCTTGAAACTTTATGACTTCTGATTTTATGTAGGGTGGCCATACCTTTCTCATATAGACTCAGGAAATATGAAACATCCTGTGTTTGAGAAAGTGAAACTAAGAAGTTTTAGAGGACAAACCAGGCTGCAGAAGGGGACGCCACTTACCAGTCTAGCTCAGAGAAGAGTCCAGATTTGTCTGAAGCCTGCAAGCTGTGCAAATTTAGTTACACTGGTGAGTGACACCAGCGTAGAGGTGTGCTCTGCAGTGAGGCAGCTGCTGCGAATTCATCCCAACTCCTGTAAGTACCTCCTCCCCCCCACTCATATTAGCAACACCAAGGGAAACCAGGAGGTTCCCCAAGTTGGACCTTCCTGCTGCTGGTACTTTGGTCTGTCATAGGTTCCCATGCTGAGGGGAGTGTGTGTGTTCATGCATTTGCGTGTGTGTGTGTGTGTGTGTGTGTGTGTGTGTGTGTGTGTGTGCAATTCCCTAAAGTCTCTGGTACAACAGCAATTATCATAAGACTCAATAAGTTGGTGTGATCATGTCTTGACTTTGATATCAGCAGACAGAGTGGAATAGTGTGAGAGGGATTATCTGCACAGCTCTTGTCATCCTGGGTGTGTGGATGCTGATTTGTAAAAGATTATTTATAGAAATGTAGAGAAGGACGACCTTTACAAATCCAACCACTGATCAGGCCCCAATCTGACACGGAGGTGCAGAGCACAGAGGGAAACTGAAGAGGAGGGCTTATGTGGTGGTTTGAAGAATGGCCTTAGAATTGAATGCTAAGTCATCTGGGAGTAGCAATACTTAGAAGGATTTTGAGGTATGTTCTTGTTGGGGTAGGTGTGTCCTTGGGGGGAGAAAGTGTGTCATTGCTGGTGGACTTTGAGATTTCAAGAGCCCAAGCCACGCCCCATGTCCCCCTCTCTTCCTGTGCCCGAGGATCCCGATGGAGAACTCTCAGCTACTTCTCCAGCACCACGTCTAGTGTGTGCTGCCATTCTCCCTGCTATGATGACAATCACCTAAACCCCCCGAGACTGTAAGCCAGCCCTAATCAAATGCTCTCCTTCATATAAGCGTGGCCATGGTTATGTTGTCTCTACACAGCAATGGAACACTAACTAAGACAGCTTACATCTCTGCTCTTCTTTGGGGATGACATCAGTTTTCATGTCTCCAGTTACTCAGCTGGGACTTTCATGACACTTCCCTTTTCCTGAAGCTCTTACATTCTGCAGTTCCTTAGACTCTGTTTTTAATATGGTCTTTAGGAGGCTGGCTGCACTAGAAAGTCTTGATTGAGAAGGGGCCCAGTTTTGGAGTCCCCAGTGAGAACCTGGACACAGGGTCCATGATTGAACTATGTGCTGCACACCGACAGCTTCTCCACTCCAAGATCTGACACACAGCTTGTCTTCTATCAGCTGTCTGGACCACTCACTGCCACTGCTGCTCTTGGTGGTCGTCCCTTGACACTGGCGTCTGCAAAATGCCGGGTCTTCTGCTGCAACTGCACTTTCACTAGTAGCCTATTCTGGGCTGTTTGCATGGACTCTGACTCTGGCACACATTGCCAAGCCTCAGCTGCTCTCCATGGCCCCTTCATACCTTCAAAACTAGCACCGCCTGGGTGGATCTTACACTACCAAGTTCGACTATGGTATGGCTATGGTGTCTGGCCAATGAGTCTCAGGATACAACCTTGGCCATGTCTGGAACACAGCCTCGGTGCTGACTCTCAGGAATCACTTTCCAGAAGGCCTCACCTAAAGATGTTGGTCTCTTTCCTCTTCGTAAACAGCTCCAGCTGAGCAGGTTAGGGTACCCCAGCAAAGCAAAGGTTTCACTTTATTAGTTCTGGTACCTTGTTAATCACAGCTGATTCTTCAGTCCCAGCTATCTTGAACCACTGATTCTTAATTCAAATGACCCAGTAGAGCTAGCTGTTTGGGGAATTCATTCTGCCAATAGCTTTGGGGTTCCTGCCTTAGGGCCTTAGGGTGTGGCTTCTTAAAAGGAGAGAGACAGAGGTGGATGCTCTCTTGGGGTGTGAAGACTGGGTCAGGTGGCCTGAAACATCATGTGGCTGTTTCCTAGCTCCCTTAGGCATAAGAGATATAAATATATCACATTCTTATCTTCCAAGCTCCCAAAGAAAGCTCTAGTGAACTCTCAACACAAGATAACTTTACTAGATCACAGTTCCAAAGTCCTTCTGCAATCCTCCACTAAGACCTTCAGTAAAGTTCTGCAATCACAAAACTTCTTCCAGTTAAAATCAGGTTCTGGGGCCTGGGAGAGGACTCAGAGTTCAGGAGCACCCACCGTTCTTTGGGGGACCGAGGTTGGATTCCTGGTACTCAGAAATCCCACCACCTTCTGTAAGTGCAGTTCCAGGGGACTCATGCAGGCTCCTGGCCACCATGGGCACTGCACACAAACGGTGCAGAGAAACAAACAGATAAAGCTCTCAGAAACATCAGATAAAAATGAATGCTTATTTTATGTTTTACAAGAGATGTTTACATAGGAAAAGTCCAGATGCTTGGTAGTAGAATTTTGACTTTGCTGTTACTTTTTTAAAGGGTAAGTTTGCAGGTGGACTGTATGTTGGTGAAAGTGTGTGTGTGTGCGTTGCACTTACAATGTTGGTGTGGATCCGCAGGTTCCATTACCTTGCTTTAGGACACAGGTCTTTCACTGGTCTCAGCTCTCTGAGGTGGCTATGTTGTCTGGCCAATGAGGCTCAGAAGCCCCAGCTCAACCCAGGCTCTATAACTACAATGTCCTTGAACTCATTCTGGAGCCATTTTCCAGAGGTTTCTTTTCCCTTGGGAGTCCCTTGCTGGTGACTTAGAAATCATTTGACACAGTATTGTCACATCAAGCCCATGGATCTGTCCACCCCTGTCACATCAGGCCCTGGGAATGATTTTGTGAATCTGTTGTCACTTTTTTTTTCCATGTGTGGTATGCTTTTGCAGGTGCATTGTGTGTTAGTGAAGGCACTGATTGTGTCTGTGGAGGTTGGGTTGTGCCAGGAAGGATTTACCTTTGGGTATGGATTCACTGGTGCCATCAATCTTGTGGATTATTCCATGTGAATGATTGGGAATCCCAGTGCAATCCTGTGTCAAATGACATCTTCAGTTGAGTGAGACAGACCCCTGTGCAGTGCACACCCCTCACACACTGGCTTGGGACCTTTCTGCAGGCAATTGGAACAGCTGTGCCCCTAGGAATATCTCTATTATGGGAACTCTCTGAAGAAAGAGCCACCTTCTATGTCCTTTGAGTTTCTTGCTGGAGTGCTCACAGTGTTTTCAAGGAATTGCTTAGGTATCGAGGAGTCTGTTGTGCTGGCTGTTAGCTGCACCTGTGGTTTCTTTCTTACTCACTTTTAAGTGTGTATTTGTAGTATTTTTAGGATAAAGTCGCTCAAAGTATGTCATTTAAATTGACTTATAAGTAAACAAAAGTGCATGTAATATAGTCTTGATTTCTTTTAAACAATTACATGTAAAACATCGTTAAACATTATTTTAAAATGGATTTTTTTACAGGTGTGAATATATAGGAGCCTTGCACAATGCCACTAAACAATTTAACTTTGATGTTGCAATGTTTTAGCTGATAGAAGTTTAGCCTTAAGTATGATGCTCTGGGTGGATCTTCTCTGTCGAGGATATCAATGGTCCTTTGTGGATATCCAGACTTGTGAGACTTTAAGAGAAAAGCCTAAATTGTGTGGAGAATTTTATAATAGAAGGTAAAACAGGAAGGACAAGAAGAGTGAGAAACATACAAAAGTTATAGGTTTAGAGAGAGATTTCTGATAAGAAAGGGAATACTTCAGGTAAGAAGGGATTTCTTTTTTGTTTTTTTGTGATGTGGTATTGTGATGACGGCAGAGAAAGTGTTGGGTACAGAGGGTCATGGGGCAAGGCTTAGGAGGGTGGAAGAAAAAGGAGCAGTGTGTGAGAGGATGTGCTGTGAGGAGAGTAACTCCTCAGCCTGTGTAGCAAGGAGGTTAGGCATGAGGACACGGTCTGAGATTTCACAGCACTTATGGAGAAGAGGACAGGGGGAAGATAGAACCTGTGACTCAGAGGGAGGTGGGAGTGGGGAGCAGGAGACAGGAGCTGGGGCAGGAGAATTCTTTGTAATTTTATGTTTAGGTGAGGGTAGTTGGGTCCAACCAAGCACAATTAATGACATGGGTGAGAAGCCAAATGAATGATGGAGAAAATGGCCACTAGCCCAAGAACTCAAGGTAGTTAGAATATCACATACATACACGCACACACACACACACACACACACATACACACAGACCCTCACACAGATACACACATAGATACAAACACAGACACACACACAGATACACACATAGATACACAGACACTCACACAGACACACATAGATGCAAAACAGACACACACAGAGACACCCCACAGACACACACACAAAATACACACCCACAAAATACACACACACACTGACACACACACAGAGACACAGACACAGACACACACAAACACACACACACACACACAGACACACACCCCTCTCATCTGCAGAGAGTTTCCTCCCATTCTTCCTGTTACCTGTAGACTCCAGCTTTTCCTCCCAGTGTAACTTGATCTCCTGAAGCCAGGCCCTGCAGTCCCCCTGTGAGGTCACTTTTAAGAAGGAGGTCACAGCCCTGTCTTCCTCCCACATCTCTTTCATCCACCTGGATCCAGGACCAACTTCAGTCAGTTTCCCAGTGCTTGAGTCAAAGTGCAGCATTTTGTGTCCATCGAGGTCAATGTCCCAGGATGCATTGAAAAGTCCATCTCCTTCATGCCAACAACACATCCTGGCATCCAGAGTGAGGGGCTCTGTGCCCATTGGAAAGAGATCAGCCTGTGGCCTTGATGAACCCTGTCTGCCCACCGTCTCCCTTCCCAGCCTCTGGCCTTGCTTTTCCCTCCACATTTTAGCTTTGCTGCTGCATCTCTTAGGTGTGACTACCAGTCATTCATTATTTTTTCCTCCATGGAAACAATGAATGTCCTTAACCTGCCACAGATCCTGTTCCTTCCTACAGGGCTCATGTCATAGTTCTTTTATTTAGTTTGTAGCACTGGGGATTGAACCTAGGGCCTCCTGCATGCTAGACAAGCACTCTACCCCGAGCTACATCCCCAGCTATTAGAAACTCACCGATGATTACATTATTCATACAAATCACTTGCTTTTGATCAGGTCAGCTCCATCTTTCAGAGTGTCAACCTGTTCTTCACAGATCTTCCTGGCATTCAGTGTATTCCCCAGAACACCAAAGACATGGCAGTCATTGATACTGTTGTAGGAAAGGAAAGTCTCTTTTTTCAGTTGGCCTTGGACTGTGTGCCGCCATGGTGCAGACCCTGACTTGTCAACAGTGAAGTCGTTGTAAACAGCAGCAGCATCTTTGAAGGAACCATGAAGTGAGGTCAGGGATGCGGAGCAGAATTCTGCATTAAGTGTGACAGACTCAGAATGGGACAAGCTGAGGCAGGGGACAGCAGATTTGCCTTCCATCATTCTTCTGACCCAGATTAGGGTGTATCCCATGTGCAAGTGTTGGTCCCCATCCTCCAGAATGCCTTCAAATGCAATGACAAAGATGCATATATTCTGGGTCAGAGAGAAACAACAGGAGGAGGTCTTGGGTTTAGGGCTTAGATTTCTTATCCAGCCAGAGACCACCTGCCTATTGAATAGTGATGCCCTTAGTCGCTGGACATTCCTACATCATTAACAGTTAAAACATTGCCTCAATAGACACTTCCTTCATAGGATTCTAGGATGAATCCAACTGATGGAGCTAACCAAAGAGGATGTTCAAGTCTTTATTTCATTCTTTCTTCTGCCCTTTATTTTTTCATTCCTTTCTTCATTGGTTCCTTTCTTTCTCCCTACTTTTTGTCCACTCTGTACTTGCCTTTTTACGGCATTATTCCAGAAGGACTTACTTGTCCCACAGGCAGAGACTGTCCCTGAGCCCCTGCTCCACATCCCTGACCTCACTTCTTGTTTTCTTCACAGATGCTGCTGCTCTTTGCAAAGGCAGGAAGATGATCTAATACCCAGGCTCCTAAACGTCTAACCACCTCCAAGGCACCAAACAAGGTCCCCACCCTTGCTTCTTTATTGACTGAACCTGCCCACAAAGTGCTAAGAGTCTTCGGGAAGCCCCTGAGAGTAACTTGGAGTCATGCCAAGGAGTATGTTAAATGTCCTTGTCACACACATCCTTTAAGTTCACCCACACCACCCTTCTCACTGCCCTCTTTCTGGTCCCCTCCCCCCACAGTCTCCAGCTGGCCCTTCTCCACTTCCCACCACCTCTCCTCTTCCTCCATCTCAATCCCAGACTCAGTTTCTCCACCAGGTGCCTTCCCCTCAACCCTGTCCTCCCTCCTCACTTTAACTGTTGTCCTTATTGTCCCCATGTCACATCACTCCCCATCCACTTACAGCTCTCTTCAGTCTCCCCTCCCCCCACTCCATCTCCTTCCTTTACCCCCACCCCACACAGAGAACAATCACTGTCTTGTCAGCAAGGCTGTGCCTTTCTCCTTAACCCTGTGACACTGCACCCCAAGACCTTTAGGAAAGTTCAGGTCCTGGGGCCTGTAGAGAAGGCTCAGAGGTGAGGAGCACTGACTGCTCCTCCAGAGGATCCATGTTGGGATTCCATGCCCTCTTCTGCATCGTTCCCTGACCCTTAGGTCTGGGAGAGTTTTGAAGGTGTGTCCCTTGGGGCTGGACGGCACAACTCTGCATGTTGACGGGTTGTGGTTTTCTCTAGGGGTCTCCATCCTTTGCAAAGAGAAGTTTCCTTGATGGGGGTGAAGAGTACATTTACCCCTGTGTTTAAGGATAAATGTTCATAGATTGTTGTTAGAGAATATGCTGGTTTAGTGATTGTAGATTCTCCTCCAATAACCATGACTATTTGTAGGCCAGGGATAAATGATACCCAAGGCCCCATGAATTACCTATGGCTCCTCACTGACACCTACATTCAGGGTAGTCCCATGCTTTCCACACAGCCATCATTCTGGAATCCACGAGCTCCCCCTTGTTCAGTTCAACTGTTTCTGTGGGTTAAACCAGCCCAGTCTTAACTCCTTTGCTCATCAGTTCTCCCTTTCTGTCAATGGATTCTAGGAGTTCAGTTCAGTGTTTAGCTGTGGGTGTCTGACTCTGCTTCCAACAGTAGCTGGATGAAGGTTCTGTTTCCCAGAGTCTCTGGCCTGGTATTGTAGGCTGGCACTCCCCTGATTCATGTCTAAAATCCATAAATGAGTGAGTATATACCATGTTTCTCTTTTTATGACTGGGTTACCTCACTCAGGATGGCTTCTTCTAGTGCCATCCATTTGCCTGCAAATTTCAAGATTCAATTGGTTTTTTTTTTTTTTGCGCTGAATAGTAGTGCATTCTGTAACTGTACCACATTTTCTCTATCCATTCTTCAGTTGAGGGGCATCTAGGTTGCTTCCAGGTTCTGGCTATTACAAATAATGCTGCTATGAACAGAGCGGACCAGAAATCCTTATTGTATGAATGTGCATCTTTTGTGTATATGCCTAATAGTGGAATTGCTGGATCTTGAGGTAGATTGATTTCCGTTTTCCTGAGGAATGTCCATGCTGATTTCCAAAGTGGCTGTATGAGTTGGCACACCCACCACCAGTGTAGGAGTGTTCCCCATTCTCCATATCCTCACCAGCATCAACTGTCATTGGAGTTATTGATTTTAGCCATTGTGACAGGAGTAAGATGGTATCCTAGAGTTGTTTTGATTTACATTTCCTGGATGGCTAAGAGTACAGGTTTTCAACGTATGACGTGATGATTCTCTGAATTTCCTTGGTGTCCATGGTTATGTCCCCCTTTTCATTTCTGATTTTGTTAATTTGTGTGTTTTTGTTCTGCCTTTTGGTTAGGTTGAATAAATGTTTGTGTATCTTTGTTGATTTTCTTGAAGAACCAACTCTTTCTTTTGTTGTTTCTTTGTATTTTTTTTTGCTGCTACTTCATTGATTTCAGCCCTCAATTTGATTATTTCCTGGTGTCTACTCCTCCTGGGGTAGCTTGCTTCTTTTTCTAGAGGTTTCAGATGTGCTGTTTCTAGAGTGACTATGCTCCAATTTTTGCATGTGGGCACTTAGTGCTATGAGCTTTCCTTTTAGCATTGTTTCAATATGTTCCATAACTTTGGGTATGCTGTGTCTTAATTTTCATTGAATTTTAAGTAGTCTTTAATTTCTTTATTTCTTCCTTGACCCAGGAGTGGTGCATTGAGCATTGTTCAACTCTCACGGAGATTTTCAATTTGTGTTGTGTTTAATTCTAACTTTAATCCATGGTGATCTGATAATATACAAGGCCTTACTCCAATTTTTTGTATCTGTTGAAGTTTGCTTTGTTGCCGAGTATGGGGTCGATTTTAGAGAAGGTTTCATGTGCCACTGAGAAGAAGGTATATTCTTTTGTGTTTGGAAGGAATGTTCTATAGATGTGAATTGAATCCAGTTGAATGATCACGTCTCTCAGTTCCTTTATTTCTTTAAGTTTCTGTCTGGTAATTCTCTCCAGTGGTGAGAGGGTGGTGTTGAAATCTCCCTGTATAAGTATGTGGGGTTCTATGTGTGATTTGAGTTTTACTAATGTTTCTTTTATGAATGTGGGTGGGTCTGTATTTGGGATATAGAAGTTCAGAATTGAGAGATCATCCTGATGGATTTTTCTGGAGACGAATAGGAAATGACCTTCTTCATCTCTTTTGATCAACTTTGCTTTGAAATCTAATTAGTTAGATATTAGGATAGCTACACAAGCTTATTTCTTAGGTTCATTTGACTGGAAAACCTTTTCCCAATCCTTTACTCTGAGGTAATGTCTGTCTTTGAAGTTGAGGCGTGTTGAGATGTGTTTCATGTATTCAGCACAATGATAGATTCTGTCTGTTAGCCTGGATCTTTTTATAGGCGAGTTAAGACCATTGATATTGAGCGATATTAATGATCATTGATTGTTGATTCTTGTTTGGTTTAGATTTGCTCTCCTTGGTGGCATTGTGTGTGGATTTCCTTCCCCCTTCTTTCTATTTGGTTAAATGGGATTCTCTATTGCCTATGTTTTCGTGTGTGTAGTTAACTCCCTTGGGTTGGAGTTTTCCTTCCAGTACTTTCTGTAAGGCTGGATTTGTGGATATGTATTTTTTAAATTTGGTTTTGTCATGAAATGTCTTGTTTTCTCCATCTATAGTGACTGAAAACTTTGCTGGGTATAGTAGTCTGGGCTGGCATCTGTGGTGTCTCAGCATTTGTAGACCATCTATCCAGGACCTTCTGGATTTCAGAGTTTTCATTGAGATGTCAGGTGTAATCCTGATAGGTCTGCCTTTATATGATACTTGGGCATTTTCCTTTGCTTCTCTTAATATTCTTTGTTTATTCTGTATGTTTGCTGTTTTAACTATTATGGGTCAAGAGGTTTCTTTTATTGTGGTGCAGTCTATTTGCTGTTCTGTGAGCATCTTTTACATTCATAGGCATGTTTTTCATTAGGTTGGGATAGTTTTTTTCTATGATTTTATTGAATATGTTTTCTGCATGTTTGAATGGGTTTCTGCAACTTCTTCTATACCTATTATTCTTAGCTTTGGTCTTATCAGGAAGTCCCATACTTCCTGGAAATTTTGTGTTAGGGATTTGTTGGACTTAAGATTTTCTTCAGTCCTTAAATCTATTTCCTTTTGTGTATCTTTATCACCTATGATTCTCTCTTCCATATCTTGTATTCTGTTGGTCATGCTTGCATCTGTAGTTCCGGATAATTTACCCCCTTTTCCATGTCCAGAATTCCCTTAGTCTGGATTTATTTTATTGTCTCTATTTCAGCTTTCTAGGATTGAACTGTTTGTGTTGTTTCTTTCACCTCTTTGATTGTTTTTTCCTTGGCTTTCCTTGCTTTCTTTAAGAAATTTGTTCATTTCTTGCATGTTTGTTTGCCTTTCCTTCATTTATTGCATTTTTGTTTTTTTCTTCCATTTCTTTAAGGGGTTTTCTCATTTCCTCTTTGAATATTTGTACCATCTTCATACATTTGTTTTTAAGTCCATGCTCTTCTGCTTCATCTGTGTTGAGATGTTCAAGTCTTCCTGGTGTAGAATCCAAAGTCTCTGGTATTGTCATAATGGCATTACTGTTGTTGAATGTGTTGTTTTACTGTCTTCTTCCAATCCCTTCTTCCACTGGGTACAGGTAGGGTCTCACAGTCTCCCACTGGGCATGGGTCCAAGGCTCCCTCCTGGTGGGTTCAGGCTGGTCCAAGACTCCAATGGTTGCAGTTGGTGGATGGTTTGTTCTGCCCCAGATCTCTCTCCTAGTGGATGCAGGTAGTTCTAAGCCTGCAGTGCTGGCAGACTCTGTATGGTTTGGTCTTCAGGCATGGGACTGCATGGTATGATTTGGAACTCTGAAAGCTAGTACTCCAGCAAGGAGACTTTAGGCAAGTTCCAGCTA